CTGAATATCGTATTTACATTACGATCCATAACAGCAAAATTAATTACAAGTATGAAGTAGCAACAGAATAATCCTGTGGTGGAGGGGTCACCACAACATGAGAAACTGTGTTAAAAGGTCGCAGCGCTGAGAAGGTTGGGAACCACGGAACTATGAGGTGGAGGAGAGGTGTTCCCCGGCTTCACCTGGGAACAGGCCCTTGTGGGGGGTTTTCCTTTGCTCTAAGCGCTCCTTGGGAAGAATCAAGGTTGTGCAGATTGAGTGGAGTGAAACGGGTGCCAGTCAGAGGGCTGGAAAACCCTAAATTTCCTGAATGCAGAGCTCAGGAACAGGGTGGGGAACACAGGGCTGGGGGGAGTGGCAGGGTGGGAGTTGTGGGGAGGCCTGCACCTAAAGGGAAATTTCTTCCTCCTTCCTGGAGGGCAGAATAGAGGAAGCAGGGATCTAGAAACAAGTGCTGACAATCACAATCAAAAGTATTACACTCCACTGAGCACGCCTGTATTCCCAGCACTCAGGAGGCAGAGGGAAGCGGATCTCTTAAGTTCAAGGCCAGCCTGGTCTACAAAGTCCAGGACAGCCAAGGCTACACAGAGAAACCCTGTCTCAAAAACAAACAGGGTATTATTACACTTCTTGTACGGGGAGGGGACTGGGCAAAGGGATCAGGTCCTAGAAACTATTATACCAAAATCTGTGGGCTGTTTCAAGTTATCTATTGCGGTATAACAAGCTGTCTCAAATCCTCTTGGCCTAAAACAGTACTTGATTTCTCAGATTCTGAAGGTGGGTTAGGTGGTGATTCTGCTGGTCTCACCGGAGGCTCTAGGCAGGACATGAGCTGCTGGACAGCTGAACTGTCGAGTGTGTAATATCATGCTTATCTGGAACTTGGCAGGGACGCTGGGAACTCTGTCCACGTGCCTCCAGTCCTTCAGTGGTCTAGCCTGAGCTTTTTGTTCAGTGCCTCCAATCCTTCAGTGGTCTAGCCTGAGCTTTTTTTTTTTTTTTTTTTTTTTTTTTTAAGTCGAGGCTGTTCTGAAACTTGGCTATGTAGTTGAGGATAACCCTGAATTTCTAATCCTCCTGCTTCCACCTCTGAAGTGCTGAGATTAGAGGTATGAGCTGCCTACCACACCTGAGCTGCACCCCCTTTCCTTTTTCACGTCTGTGTACGGACACGTGCATGTGTCTGCGGAGGCCTGAGGGTGATGTCAGAAATCATTGTCCATTGCTCCTTCACTTATTCATTGAGGCGGGGTCTCTACATCAAACCCAGCGCTCAGCCGGCTAGCCAGCTTGCTCTGGGGAGCCTGTCTCCACCTTCTGAGACCAGACTCACAGTCCACTCAGCATGTCTGTGGGCTCAGGGGATCTCAGCTCTGGTCCTCAGGCTTATAACAAGGGCTTTGACTGCTGTGTCATTTTCCAAGTCTGTGTGTCTTTATTGGGAGTCATGATCCAAGGAAATCAAAGCAGAAGCTGCCAGATGGCTCGATAGGCGGGGACTTTGATGAGAGGGTTAAGGACGCTCTATAAAAGGGTATGGACAACAAGAGGTTTTTGTTTGTTTTAATTGAGGCAGGGTTTCACTGTAGAGCTCTGGCCTACCTGGAACTCTCTGTAGACCAGGTTGACCTAGAACTCAGAGATCCACCTGCCTCTGCCTCCTGAGTGCTGGGATTAGGAGGTGTGTGCCACCACACCCAGCACGGGGAAAAATTCTTTTAAGTCACAATACCTTACTTTGGGGGGCCTTAAGAATATGGGCTATGAGGGGCCTCGAGGGTAGCTAAGTGGTGGAGCACTTGCCTGGTATGTGGAAGCCCTCAAGTCCAACGCCCGGCACCCATTTCCCAATAGAGGGCCTATGTTTTAATTGCAAAGAAGGGCTTGTATTTAGCTACCTATGATGGCACTAGTAATGGGTTCTGGGCTCCAGTGAGAGGCGACTGCAAAGTGTCTTAAGAATGAAAGGTCTCCACTGTGGGACACTGGGATGAACGATGGCCAGTTTGTGGGGGGAGGAGCATAAAGTCTGGATGCCGTCAGAAAGAGAAACAGCTAAGACTTAAGATACTGGAAAACCTAGTTAAAACAACCCGATTTTCTATGAAATTGAATTCAGGCTGCTTTTGCAAAGAGACTGAACGAACATTTGCTGCTTTAGGACAGGGTTTTGTATCCCAAACAGAACTCCTTAATGAGCCTTAAAATTAATTTTAGGGGCTCATGATCCACATTAAAAAAAATAATAAAGCAGGTCAGGGGCGGAGGAAGACCGCTCGGTCTGTAAAGGGCTTGACTTGCATGAGTCCCCAAGGTCATCTGAGAACCCACGTTCAAAGGCCAGGCCCTGGCAGCACTTCATTGTAATCCTGGGGCCAGGGAGGTGGGCCCAGAGTGGGCGATGGGGCTTGCTGGCCAGCCGGTCCAGCCTAACTGGCGAGTTCAAGGTTCAGCGACAGACCCCTTCTCAAAGGAGGTAGATGACATTTCTGAGGATGACACCAAGGCTATCCTCTGGCCTACGGATTCTCTCTCTCTTATGACAGGGACATGCACACAAGCAGGCATCAATAGGCAGATAAATAAATGAAACTGGGCCTGATGGTGTATACTAATAACCCTAGGACTTGGGGGTGCTGAGGTCAGAGAAGCCTGAGTTCAAGGCCAACCTGTACTATACCCTGAGCTCCAGGTCAGCCAGAGAGGTAAAGAGAGAAACTCTCACATGAGTGAATGAATGAAAAAAAGCACAATATACAGCTATCTTTCATTTTTTTTTTATTCACGTATATAAGTAAACATTTACTTTCTTACTAAAGTTGCGGTCAAAGTCTGAAAGCCACTGATGTAAGGTATACTGCAGTGGAGGGGCATACAGAGTGTACGAATAAGAAAAATGTGTTGGTCCAGCCTTTAATCCCAGCAGGTGGGGAGGCAAAGGCAGGCAGATCGCCGTGAGTTCAAGGTCAGCCTGGTCTTCAGCGCGAGCCCACGACAGCCAGAGCTACAGAGAAACCAGGTCTCAGAAAAGCTGGAGAGTTGGCTCAGAGGTTAAGAGCGCTGGCTGTTCTTCCAAAGGTCTCAAGTTCAATTCCCAGCAACCACATGGTGGCTCACAACCGTCTATCTGGCGCCCTCTTCTGGCGTGCAGGCACACATGCAAATCTTAAAAAAGACAAAACAAGAAAAGAAAAACGTGTTGGAGGCACACACCTATAATCCTAGCACTTGGGAGTTGGAAGCAGGAAAAGCAGGTGTTCAGTGCCCCCCCCCAAATAGAGAGCAAGTAGTACCCGGCCAGGACTGCATAAACCCATCCCCAAAACACGAACGGCCGGGTGGGGGGGCCGGGTGGGGGAGGGGCAGCCAGATCTTTACAGTGAGCTTCAGGCCAATCGTGGGTACTTTGAGACCTTGTCTCAAAAACAAAACAAACAAAGACCCTCCCAAGCCAAAATCAAGCAAACAAACAAAAAAACAAAAACAAAACAAAACAAAACAAAAAAAACCCACAAAAGAAACAGTGGGTCTCTAGTCCAAGATACTGGACTCTCCAAGCCATGAGGATGACTCAGCAGTTTATAGAACTCTCAGCGTCTATACCACGCAGCTCAAAACCCCCAAGAACTCCAGCTCCTCCTAGTGTACCCACTCACGTGCGTGCACAGACACCCCCCCAACCACCTCCCCACCACACACACACACACCACGTACTCTATAACAAAAAGAAGAGAATAAAAATGACAGTTCTGTGAACTGTTCAGCTCTGCTCCATTCTTAAGAGTCTCAAACAGAGGGAAATGTGAACAATAAGGTTTCCTTCCTAGACACTGAAGTCCTGAACTGGAATCCTGTAAGAGGAACAGACAGGGTGGATGGGGGCTGGAAGGGCGTGACAGAGCTGGCTTATCTCCCAGCTGGCACAGCCCTATTTCAGAGGGCAAGCTTCAGGTTACAGGGATCCACATCACCTGACAGTGAATTGTGTGTCTGTGTGTGTGTTTATCTTCATCCACTCATTCCCAGTGCTAAGGATGGACCACCCCAGGCCCTTCCTCATGTTAGGTAAACACTAAGGATGATGATCACCCAACACCATCATCCTTAGTTCTCTTCTTGTTTTTATTTAAGACAGGTCTCTCCATGTTTTCCATGTGGCCTTTCAATTTGTGATCCTCTCGCCTCAGCCTCCCTGAATTATAGGCCTTGGCTCCAGGCTTAGCTGACGTAAACACCTGTCAGGTTTCCTCCCTTGGAAGGCATGCCCCGGGAGAGTGCGGTCCGTCTTGCCCACTGCTAACTCTCCAGGCACTAGGCCAGCACCGGGCACACAGGAGTGTGACTGCCTAGGGGTGAGGAAAGGAGCCTCATCCAGTGGGGCTGCCTCCCAACTTCCGCTGACTACTTGATAAGCTGTTTGAACTCCTGTTTACTCTTCTAGCTGGGCCATGCCCAATCCCGATCCTTCCTCCAAATTCCATCTCGGGAATTCTGTGATCGCTGCTCAGTTGGTCAGAGCAGTGTTAAGGCAGCCAGGCAGCAACAGTGGCGAGATGGGCATTGGGTCAACTGGTGGGCAGCCTTGGAAGCATGCCACCCAGTCAGACCTGGAGGTGCCGGGTTACTCAGGAGGCTTCAGACAGGCGGAGAGCAAGTTAAAGACCTGCCTGAGTTCCAGAGTGAGTTCCGGGCCAGCCTGGGCAACTCAGTTAAACCTTGTGTCTCAAAACACAAAGCAAGAGGAGAACGGAAGATGTAGCTCAGTGGTACGGCTTACCTGATGGGCACAAGGCCTAGATTCAGTCCCTAGAATATGACTGGAAATATGTCATTCTTAAAGGATCAGGTGGGATTTCTAGAGATGCCAACCAATGATTCAGGTGTGGATTTCGTGATTATTTTACATAGAATGGGCAATCATTAACCAAGAGGCCCTCAAAATGTCACCTGAGCTTAAAGAAGAAATGAAGAAAGAGACATGGGAATATGGCTACTTTTTCTTCTTTTTTTTTTTTACTTTGAACATTAGCATGAAGTCGGTTACCGTATACATCCAAAGGCCCAGCATGTTGGAAAAAAAAAAAAAATCATTGAATGGCACAACTTGTACCAGTGTCTTAATAAGAATAAAATATACAATGCTACATTGAATGGTTAAAAATACACAAAAAAGTAGTTTTAACAATCTATAAATCTTTATACTTAAAATCATGATTGAGTTGAAATTTTAAAAAAAGTGCATTTCAATTGCTAAAAAAAAATAATATTGTTGTAGTTAACACAAGGGAGAAATCATCACGCCGGGGGAACTGACAGGATGCTAGGGAAAAAGATGTTGGAAGCCAGGCACTGCAGGCCAGTCAGAGCCCGCCTAGCTCCATCCACGATGCAGCTCCTCTCTCATCCTTCCCACATCAAGAGGTCCTGTCCTACCTGCCTGCCATCCCCCACCCCCAATGGCAGGCCCTCTAAGCTTTACAGCATGACAGACATGTCCCCTCACTGGGTCCCAATTTGACCTTCACCTGTGCCTCTCCAGAGGTGAGAGAGAGACACTGTCCCCTTCTAGACTAGATATAGTCTTAATCTTCTTGACCTTGCAGACAGGCCCGGAAACAAGCAGCTTCTGCCTTCTCTCACTCCTTTGGATAGACATTCAGCAGCAAGTTTTGCAAACCTAAGGCTGAGGGGTTCTAGCAAGCACACTGAACTTCCTTGAAGAAATGAGAATGTGCAAGTGACCTCAGCACTCTGGGGGAAATCACCTGGCCACCTGCCTCTGTTCCGCTTCTGCCTAGTGCTGGAATTACCAAGGAGCCCCCACTCTGTGTGTCTGGCCTTGCTCAGGTTCTCAGGTCTTGCGGAAAAAAGGGACCAGAAAGAAATCAGTAAGGGAGACCCTTCCACAGGTAAACGTTTCACCCCACCAGGCAAATGTCCGCAGGCTGCTGCTTTCCCAGGGATGCCCAACTCTTCATCTGAAGATGCTGCAGTGGTCACAATCAAAAATTCCCGGAGAGCTGATGAGAGCTAGGCGCCCAAGGCAAGGACAAGGAACTGGCAGAGAGGGCTGGGCCCAAAATTCTGTCTTGCAGGGGTGCTTGCTAAAGGAGACCTGCAAGACCTACTCCTGGTAGCAGATACCCACCAGGGGCAGACGGTGAGACGGCGTGTGCTCGCTGGCACTCCAGAGACCCCGCTGCTGTCATAGACATGATGGGGCAGGCAGGGCTGGGACAGGACTTGCAGGAAGAAAACAGGGAGGACCGTCACCTTTCAGCTCTGCATTTAGTCAGCACTGGATCCTTCATAATAAGGGCTTAGCTTTCAACCTCTCTCTGGACACCAATATTAACATATTGGTTATGTTACTGGCTGATCATGCTGCCCAACAACCCACACAGACCCCAGACCCAGGAGTCCATCTCTGTTCCCATCACTAGGCCTGAACAACTACTCAACTTAGTGATGCATGAAATCGCTTTAGTCAAATCCAACCAGAGCGCCAAGGGATGGATAAGCCCAGCAGAGACTAAAATGCCGAGAAGAAAGTACTTTATCGCCCCCTTATGGCTAAAACAAGTACTGCAGAGGAAACAATTAGCTCAAAAATGATTTTTTTTTCTCCTCCATATTCTGGAAGATAATACACCTGGTTTTCTGAGGCCATGTATCTGGCGATAAAACTTGAGAAGTAAACACAAACATTACACCACACCATTTATTTCTTTTCGACTTAACTCACACTTTCCAATTCAGCCAGGCAGTCTCAGATCCTATGCAGGGTGCCAGCGAGGCCCTGCTTCTGGCAACATGGGTCCCTTTACCTGTAAGGCTGTGTTCATTCAGGGGAGCCACAGATGTGGAAACAGGCCGCGCTCTTCTCAGACAGGCAGGCTCTTTACTGAAGCCAGCCAACACAAGCAGCGGGTTTCCTTTTGACATGAAGCAGAACCCAGCTTCCACCCTTTTTGAGCATCTCCGTTTCTTGTAAGATCTGATTTGTCACCTCCCCAGCCTCCCCAGTGTTCACCTCGGAGGGGCAAGAACTCTCTTTGCTACCTGACCAGAAGCATCCTAATGAAGACACAAAACAAGGCCGCCCCTCTAAGGACACAGGCCCTCCCGGCGACAGGTAAGCGTGGTGCTCACAGGCAGCCTGCTCTCAGGGGGTGACTGTCTAGGCGAGGGGTGGGCAAGGTTGACGGTCCCTACAATGCCTTGTCTACACAGCCGGTGGTGAGGTTACCCCCATGGCTTGGCGTCTACATTTTCAAACCAATGCTCACAGTTTGCCCCACCGATTAACAATCCTGTCTGTTTTCAGACAGAAGGGATTAAAAGCTTATCATCGGCTCCCTTTCGAGATCCCTACCTCACACAGCCAGCAGTCTTGGATGCCTGAGTACTAATAACTTGAAGGAAAGAGGCAAGAGATTGTAAGTCAGAAAGCAAAGATTTTGGCTAAGGTTAGTGTTCATTCACTCACAAAAAAGGAAAATAAGTCAAAAACAAAATCCAACTGCTGCACTGACAGAGTTCATCTGTTTCACTTTCAGAGGGAGCACACAGCCCGTTACGGAAGCCGGGATGCGAAAACCCGCCAGTTGCTGAAGTAATTTTTATCAATGAAGTGCACACATTACACAAAGAACACACTTCAGCTTCCTTTTTATTCCATCTTTCATATATTAGACACCAGTCACACTTTTTAAAGGACAACTAGAAAATAAACTGGGGTTTAGGAGGGGACAGGTGGCTGATGGGAAGGGGCGATCAAAACTCAATAAAGGACTTCTGCTAAACCCAGAGAGCACTTTGATATTCCTATGACTACGATAAGGTCACGGGAAGAACCCTGTAAAACGCGTTTGAAAGAGAGGGTGTGCCCCACCAGCAGCATTCAGCATCCTTTTAATTAGAAAGTGTCGGCATTTGGAAGACTTCAGATGAGAAAAAGATGGCCGGAGACACACCGGGTGGCCTCGGGTTTTAAAGGAACAGCCAGCCTGTGGCGAAAGACTAGCAGGCGAAGGACAAGGACGGCTCTAGTATGGGGGTGTGGTAGGTGGGGAGTAAGACAGAAAGAAGCTACAAACACAATTGAGCAGCGAGCGACGCGGGGCAACAAAAGACAAGTGTGTTCACAAACCTCAGCCGGGTTTTAGCAAGTTTGCATTTAAGCCCTTTGACTAAGGGTGAATTCCAATAATTCTGCTGAATGAAACAATCAGAGGTAGGATTCAGACCAGGGAGAGGAGGTTCCAGGATGTGGGCTTCTTGAAGGCACTCGAGAGCAGAGTGATTGGGTGTAAAGCTGCACAGGGCAGCAGGGGACAGACCAACGGCTAACAACTCACTCCTCTGTGCTACAGCAGACAACTGTACAACACAGTGACAGGGACACTGTCACTATGCACAAATGAACCGGGAACCCTGAGTTACCAGGGCAGAGAGACCCCACTTTATAACAATGTGGCCTGTGGTCAGGGAGTGAGGAAAAGGAGTTTGTTTTCAGAATATGTAGGTCTGCAAAGCACTTCTGATTTAAATGTGTCATTTTTTGAATGGCATGGCATCTGGTTCTTTAAACAAATTTACTGAAGCTAGAGCTCCGAAGTTGGAACATTTAAGGAATGTGATTTTCCCTGGCGTCTAGCAAAAGCTACGCTCTAAGGTGGAAAGGTCTGAGTACAAGTCTATAAAAAAGTCTAGCGAGTATAAAAGTATAGAGCTGTGAAGGTGGGCATATTGACAACTTTTATGGCTTCCATAGAAAGTTTAGTGAGGGTCTCTGGGTTGCTTTATCGAGGTAGTTCCAGGGTTGGAAGGTCCGTGTCACTTCTCACGAATGCTACAGATGACAAAGGCGGATTAGCTACCGGGTTGTTACTGAATAACAATGCCACTATTTCTAATGGCTTATGACCTTTTCTTCCTGAAAATGGAAACAAAAATGGAGGGAACTCGAGAAAATTCCTAACTCGGTGAGGCAAAGAAAAACCAGCCTGGCAGTGGTGGTGCACACCATTAATCCCAGCACTCGGGAGGCAGAGGCAGGCGGATCTCTGTTTGAGGCCAGCCTGGTCTGCAGAGTTCCAGGACAGCCAAGGCTACACAGGGAAAACCTGTCTCGAAAAACCAACCCCCCCCCCTCCACACACACACAAAAGGAAATAAAAAACCCTTAAAAGCCGGTGATCCTTTGCTCAGCTTTCAAGTTTTAGGACTCCCAGCTGATTTTTTTTTAAGTGGATAAAATGGTTAGAGCTAACATAGCCAGCCTCTTTTCATGACATGTTCCACTGTAGTCTGGAAAACATCAAAATCTGTATCATATGGACTATCAAAGTAACAAGAGTGGTATTTCCATACAGTAGCTCCAACAGAGGGGTTCCTTTAGCTGAAACAGGGGATCTCTTAATGGAAGTTCTAGTTTTTCTCTTTAAACACAAAAACTCACCTACCATAGTAGTGTTTTCCTAACCAAAATCTACAAGAGGGAATAAATCCACATAGATGTACATGCAAACTGGTGTTCAAGCGTGCGCGCACGCACACACGCACATGCACACACACACATATACACACACACAACCTGCAATGGAATTCTTTCTCTAGTTCACAGTCTCAAACTGTAAATCTTCCAGTGAAATACAAGTGAAAACAAACACATAGCCACTCAACAATAATAAAAACTGAAAAAATTTCAAGAAGTTAAAATTCAGAGCTTCAGAGATTTTGCCTCTGGTTCGCAGAGGAAGGGGGTGGGGACGGCCAGCTCAGAAAGACAATGTCAACAGATGTGGCTCTCAGGCAGGACAGCTCCACAAAGGTCCATGCGCAAGGACTGATTCGGAGGGCCACTGAGACAGTCCCTGGAAATGATTTTCAAACGTGTCTTTGAACTTTATTTAACTTTTATGTGGAGACTCCCCATTTGCTAAAAATAAGAATATACTGAAAGTGAAGCCACATGCCTTTACATGGTTCATCTCATTTTCATTCAGTCTTAAAATCTCACCCACTAGGAGCCTACCTGACTCCATTTGAGAGCAGCCGCCTTCCATTAGGCTAAAAGTGTTTGCATCCAAATGATAAAATCTCTGTGAAAAGGGCTAAAGGTGCAGAACCCAACCTCCGAACCAAAAGATGCAGTGCCAACTCAAAACCAGCTTGTGGAGGCCAGGCAGGGTAGAGCAGGTACCCCAGTCCCAGCACCTGGGAAGCAGAGGTGGGGGGAGTCATGGGTTCGAGTCTACCCATGGTCAGCTTCCATTAGGGAGTTCAGGCCAGCGTAGGTATTGTAGGTATTTATCGAGACCCTTTCTCCTAAAAACTACCACCACCACCAAGATTCTTGGGTGGGCTGGCTGTTGTAGTTTAGCCCTTTAGACCCAGCACTCAGGCTGTGAGTTCAAGGCTAGCCTAGTTTACATATAAGTAAATAATCCTTGCAACAGTGAAAGTCTTTGAAAATAGTATAAAATGACATAATGAGAAAAGCCTTGATTTACAATCTTATTCTGAGATGTGGCCTGTGTCTTTACAAGACAACAGTGTAGATAAGGGCCTGGGACACAAACTCTCCCACAGGTCTTTTTTCACACACAGGTGACGAGAACACACCAGGTTCTGCAGAGCTAACTCACAGGAGACAGTGCAGAGCGGCACCTGTGCGCGAGCAGCCACACAGGGCAGCCGCTGTCTGGGCAGCCGACCCCAAGCACATTCTCAACCCTGAGTCTGAGTCTCCATCGAGTTAAACCTGATGCACCTGACGCTTAAGGCCCCACCCTGTGGCTCCTGACACAGAAGCATTTGTTAGGAACTTTGTCACGCAAATACTCATTTTTCCTATGACACTGTCGAGAGTCACTTTTTAGAGCAGGTTTTCTACAAATCCAAGGAAAAAAATATTTGTCTGGGGGGAAAAGTGGCATTTCTAGATCTTTCCACAGTTCAGTAAGAATTATACACTGTGACAGTGCTAACTCATTTCAAATGTTTTTGTTTCTGCTTCTGTTAAGGATGGTGTGGTTACTGACTTGCTACTCAAGTTCCTATGTAGAAGACAGTTTCTTATGGCTATAGTCATCTGAGTTAAAAAAAAAAACCAAATCCTAACTGACCACCTGAATTTTTCAGTGAGTATTCATAGTACATCCACAGAACAGTTGCTCCACCAGCCTTGAGCCTAGAATTCGGAATCTTTGCCCAATATTGAAAAATTCTTCAGTATAAAATGAGATAACCAATGACTAAGCTACAGTTTCTACCTTTTTTGATAGTGTGGATGAAAGGAGCCTGTAGAGGTCCACTGGGGCAGTGGGGGTGGGGAAGCTTCTGGGCCACGACAGCCAGACAAGGACTTGGCTTCCTCGTTGCCTTGTACGTGCGGGCTCTGAGAATGTATGCAAATATTAAAAACACCACTCGTTAAAATTTACACCTAGAAACTGTAGGAAAGGTGTGCCCTGAGATAATTTTCTGCCTCGGCACACAATTTTTTTCTATGCTTTACAAAAGACAAAGGTAAAACTGGAGTAAATTTAGAAATAGTAAACCAAAAAAAGTAATGTAGCGTGTGGTACTTAAAAGCAGGACCCTAACTTCATCCGTAGTCCATGTGTCCCCACTGCGGAGGTAAGGGGCCAGAAGAAAGTGCGTGAGGCATATCTGCACATTTACTATCAAAGATAAATAAATACCAGCAAAGGTTCTGAGTTAAGAGCCTGAGGAAAGAGAAACGAGGGAGAAGTGGTGGGTAAGTGGCTACTCCTGGAGCTCATCCTGAGGTGAAGAAGTGAAGGCATGCAGCTGTGCTGTGCGAACTGTCAGCTAACCGAGACCACCCTGTCAGCCCTGCGCTTCAGCCTTCCGAATAATCAGTTCCAGGGTGCCGGTGCTCTGTGGAAGTTCCCCAAATCTTGAACGAGGAAGCTGCTGAGAGGCAGGGGCACTGCTCGCCCCTCACCAAGACGCTGCGTCACGCTCACCTGCAGGGGACGAGGCACCAGTATTTGGGGGTTCCCTCTCACTACAGTTTAGATGAAGATATGGATCAGTTGTGGACACCCACTCTTTAGAGACTGCAGACATCTTAAAACTTAGCACGTCAACGTGTCTTCTCATCCAGTTCTCGGCCACTATCAGCAATTACATTTGTGATTTCAGTTCACCGCATTAGTTTCTCCTAATGACTCTCGGAAAACACAGCAACCTCAAAGTAAGAGATTCCAATTTATCTTCCCCTAACAGCTGAGCATGCCACAGTTCCTAAGTGAGAACAGATGTGATCGAAGGGGACAGCCTCTGCCACTTCCTTCTGAAGGTATTCTCAGTGTCACTCAGATTCTCAAACCAGGCAAGCTTGGGGGACTCCATTCCAGCACCCGCCCCACTGCATCCACAGAGGAGCTCAAAGGGACACCAGGATGGAGTGTGTCCGTGAGCCTGAAGGACTGAACGTCCAGCAAAGACATTCAGCTCAGAGTACTAAGCCCGTACTGAGCCTGGCTGTTGCAGTGACCTGGTCTGAAGGCCCTCTCAGATACATCCAGTCTCAGAAGCACCTTTGAGTTATACAGATGTAAGAATAAATTTGAAATAGAAGTTATTATATGCATCTTTAAGAATCACATTTTGATGATTATAAAAATTTATCTATTTTACAACATGGGTTTAGCTACACTGAAAAAATTACACAGCTTATTGAAATAATTTCATTTTAGAAACAGACTACTAAAGTCTATACAAAAACTCTAAAATAATTTCTGTAGTAAAATAAAGTGTGTTAAAAGAGCTACACAAAGAAGAAAATTCCCATCTTCTCTATAATGCTTGATATTGTGTGAAATGTGGCCAGCGTGACTCTGCAGCCAGCACCAGAAGCTGAAAAGAATTCATTACAATACACAGTGATACAGTTAATGCTCTGGATTAATCTCACAGCCTTCCCGATTAGTATAAAGGAAACCAGGTCTGTCCCCTCTTTGAGGAGAAGACCTGGATATAAAAGCAAGCATACCTCATCTGCTGATATGAAATTATAAAATCCCACAGTCTCAGTATTTGAAATTTATAAAAGTCATCAGAAAATGCAAGCAAATTGGGCTTTAGTTCGGTGGTTCCCCTGGTTTTGAGGGCAGTCTTGTTCACTCCCTCGGGTCAGTCTGATGGTTCTCCAGGACAATGGCAAAGGCCCTGAAGGATGCCATGGAGACAGGGAGACCCAAGAGAGGCATGGCTGCACCCCTTCTGCCAACTCACGGTGGGGATGACACTCCAGCTGGCTAATGATGCTGGGCCTGGGCCGCACTGTTCTTCTCTGCCAGGTGCCTGAGGAAGGTGTCCTCACTCTGGCCTCTGTGGTTTAGGGGCTCACTCTTGAAGAGGGCTGGAGGTGGGGGCAGGTGAGGCACGGGTGGGATGGGGAGGTGGTGCGGGTGCGGATGTGTGTGGATGTGCAGGTGCGAGAAAGGGTGCGGGACCGGCCTTGAGGGAAGTGCGCCACCTACCGGGTTCATACCGACTGCGGGGGCTGGGCTCGTGGGAGTGTTGGCCACGGCTGGGGCAGGGGCAGCTGGAGCTGAGGCCAGCGGGATCTGGACAGCTGGCGGCACGTTCACTGGGCTGGTCACTCGGAAGCACTTCTCCTTGTGGGCCTTCAGCATGTTGGAAAAGCGGAACCGCTGGCCGCACACATCGCAGGGATAGGGCTTCTCGCCTGTGTGAGTTCTGCGGTGCCTCTTCATGTTGGGTCGGCTGGTGAAGCTTTTGCCACAGATTTCACAGATAAAAGGTTTCTCTCCTGAGGATGAGCACAGACAAAGAGGGCTGATGTTCTGGGCGTAAAGACGGGAACTAGCCACTCATGCTGTCCCCCATAGCATTTTGTCCCCCAAACTGAGACTTAACATGTCACAGTAGGCACAAATACAACGTGTAACCTCCTGTGCTGGGAGGGGAAGAGGAGGGAAATTAGAGCTAGTGATGGATATGCAGGTGTGGCCTATGGGCACCCTGTCTCTGAACATTAACTACTGCTGAGCCAGCTGTCACTTCAGCTACCCATCCTTTTTTTCCTTACACCGGACACTCACCCTAGACTCTGATGACTACATCTAGGAGCTGTCCCTTCTCCCAGCAACTGTATGAGGTAGTATACTACACCTACTGTCTGAGGGTTGTCTTGCCTGAGGCGCTGTGAGGCACAAAGTTAGGAACGCTGAAGTCTGGCTCCCGGAGCGTGCTCTGCCAGCTGAGAAGCCACAGCATTTCGTACCCTATGAGTGTGTTCTCCATGTGTGAAAGAATGCATTTGCACGTTTTTTCTGTAACTCTGTCCCGTAACCAGGAGCAAATAGCTCTTCACCCACACTGTAGTCCACTCTTTCTTGTTCTAGAGAAAGCTGGATCTCCTGCTGCTTCCTCTATCCTACCCACAATTCCCAGAAGATGGAATGAAACAGTAGGTGGCACCAGCTACCCTTGCTGAAGGACCTTCCCTGCGACTCACACTCATCTTTCTGGTTGAGTTCTCAGCTTGTCGCCTTTTTAATCTTTTTCTTCCTTCCTTTGAGACATGGTTCATTATGTATCTCACCCAGATCCCTTGCCTGCTTCCAGAGCTTTGGGATCACAGCTGTAAACCACAAGCACTTGGTCCCTCCAATCATCTCCCCTTCCCTTTAGAGACAAGCGTCTCATGCACCAGAAGTGGACCTTAAGTTTCCTATGTGGCCAACAATGACCTTGAATTTCTAATTCTCATGTCTCCATCTCCCAAGTGCTGGCATGACAGGCTTGTGCCACCATGCTCAATTTTCCTTTAATCATCTTAAAAACATCAAATATGGCTAGTGAGAAGGTTCAGTGGGTGAAGGCACTGCTGCCAAGCCTGAGGACCTGGCTTTGAACCCCATGGCAGGAGAAAACGACCTCAAAAGCTATTCTCTGACCTTGATAAATGCTCCACTGCACAAGGGCATTGCCACCCCAAAACAAATATTTGTAATTAACCAGACAAACAGACAAACCCTTCAAATTGTATTGTGGTGGTTTTGGTTTTATCCATCTGAGAGAAACGTCATTGGAAACAATTGTGTACAGTATAGAATTGTAACTATCAACATGAAATTTATGTGAAGGCATCTATAAACTATTAGCAAAGTAAAACATTAGCGAAGTAAATTATTAGCAAAGTAAAACACGCCAAGTTATAAAAATATGTGCATAACATCCACTTTTATGTGAAATGTGCACAGAAAATATATGGAAAGAAATAGTGTGTTTGCAAGGTTACTTCCAGGTAACAGAACTGCAGACGGTTCTTTATTGGTGTTTGTTTGTTTGTTTGTTTTGAGACAGCATTTCACAATGTAGCCCCGGCTGGCCTACAACTCCATATGTAGATCGGGCTGGCCTGAAACTCACAGTGAGACACTTGCCTCTGACTTCCAAGTATTGGCATTAAAGGTGTGCACCACCACACTCAGCCTTATTTTTTTACTTATTATTTTTTCTTACGTGTATAAGTGTTCTGCCCTATGTATGTTCCACATGTGTGCCAAACATTCATAGAGGCCAGAAGACAGTACCACATCCTCTGGACTACAATTTTAAATGGTTGTGAGCCAACATATGGGTGCCGGGAATTGAACCCAGGCCTTCTGCAAGAGCATTAGTTGATCGTAACACTGAGCCATCTCTCCAGCTCACATCCTTACGTTTAATACTTTTCTGTACTTGTTTTGCTGAAATAAACATTACTTACTTATTCAGTAAAATGTTTAATTTTTTTTAAGATAGGTTTTGATATGTGGCCCAGGCTGGCCTGGTTATCAGTATGCAGTCTAGGCTGGCAAATGCATGGCAATCCTCTTGCCTCAGCCTTCTGGGTTCCGGGAAACAGGATTGCTCTCTAGTAAAGTATTTTAAAAGCACAGTGGTTTGCTAACTCCTTAAACCCTGAACCCCCATTCTCGCTATGAGTCAGTGTTCTTCCTTGCAGCAGCACACGAGGACAGCCCCGGGACAAGAACAGCCCAGGGCCTCTAAGCTCTGATCGCCTGTGCATCGAGAGCACATGCTCCCCGCCTGACTCGCTGACAGCACCACACTCGGCTCACAAGCCCCAACGCTGAGTGTTCAGTCAATAAACACATGTTCAACTTTCCTGACCCTGTTAATCATCTCCATTCCCAAGCTCCTGGGCCATGTGACTTGCCATAGGAAGCCACGAAGGAATTAGGATGATTATAAATCCATGTCTCACATGAAAATCTTAGTGCATTGATAAGCTTTTACTTACTTATTATACTAGCAAAAGTCTCCATCTCCACATTGTTGTCCCATGCCTTCACCTGACAAAAAACCATTACTCCCACCTACCGCTGTCTCATTATTTATTTGGTCCCATTGCCTAATTGTGCTTAATGGTTGGTGTGAAGGTTACTCTGAAGCATAAGATAAACTAAAATGTAACATTTGAAGTCAAACCACTGTACCATGGTCCGCTTTAAAGAAGAGTTTCATGAAAAATGTGGGCTATGAGATGGGAATAGCTAAATTCACAAGATAACTTGAAAAACACAGGCATTAACTTATCTAGAGCTCTATCTAACAGACAAAGCTGACCCAGCTCGAGGAAGTCATACTGTAAGTAGCCTGAAGAAGGGCACTATAAATTAGGAAGACTGCATGGAAGATAGAAAGGTGTTTGGGTACTTGTCTTTCACACTGTGCAAAGGGAAGTGATCTGTCCCAAACCCAAGCATTCCTGCCCACGTAGAATGAACAGCCTGGCAGCATCAGATATCCACTCATCTACCTCATATAAATCTCTTTCTTGAGCTTTAATCCTTTCTCAAACTGCTTCCTGGATATTTCCATTTGAATGTTTCATAGATCTCAAAGCCAACAAAAGTAAGTTAAATTCATTATCCTACCTAGCAAAGCACTCCACTCTCCCATTTCTACCTAAACACTACTCACTATTCTAAAACCTCTGGAACTAACCCTTAATTCATCTAACTGGGTTTAGCATCTGCTTTCCCTCACTCTCTACACTGGAGCCAAACTGAACTCTCAGAACACTTGAGTCACAAACCACATAAAAACACACCCCTCTCACTGCTCTTTAAATCCAAAGGTTTCATGCTCGGTTTAAGGGAGTCTTTATGGTATACTCTCTGCTCACTGCTCTTCAGTATCATGCCTTATACTCCTTGTCTCTTTGTATCTTCCTGCCCAAGCTGTCAACACAAAACTTGCATCAGGCTTCCATACACCCAACACCAACCCCAACCCGAGTATACACTTTGTGGAGCTAAGGGTATCTCTATCTTGCCTGTTACAGTAGCTTCACTTAATAAGCTCTTCTACCCTACTTTTGGTTTTTTAAGACAGGGTTCCTCTGGGTAGCCCTGGCTGGCCTCAAACTTCGAAATCCACCTGCCTCTGCCTCCCCAGTGCTGGGATTAAAGGCTCGTACCACCACCACCCGGCCTTAGTAGGCTCTTAATAAATATTTATAAATGAATTTTAAACACTTAAAGACATGGATTTCTTCCCACACTTTCATGCATACTTACAGCATTTTCTCAGCAGACTATAAGCTGATTTTATAACTGATGGCACCTGGATCCAGTGAAGTATGGTGGTTGCCATTCAGATCCTTACACTGCCCTCTCTACTCCTGGGAATCTCCTCATAATTCAGCTTCTAATATACAGTTGAGTTTAGGCAGACAAGGCTGACCAAAAAGGTATGAACAGTTCCAGCCTGGGCCAGAGATGTGGCTCTGCAGCAGGGAACCTGACTAGCTCATGCCATGACCCTAGTTCAACTACTAGGACAAAAACAAACAACAAACACCTGGGCTGAGAGACGGCTCAGTGACTAAGACCACACTGGCTGCTCTTCCAGAGGACCTGGCTTCAATTCCCAGCACCCACAGTGGCGCACAACCAGCTGTAACTCCAGTCTCAGGGAATCCAATACCCTCTTCTGGTCTCTTCACCGGGCAAGCATATGATATATAGACAAATACGCAGGCAAACATTCATACACATAAAATAATAATAATAATAATAATAATAACAACAACAGCAACAACAATCATGTAGTCTCTCAGACACTGCAGTCCTTCTTACTGATACCATGGCGCTGGAGGCCAGCCGAGGTTGTACAGTTCTGCTGGTGAGGTTTGTTCAAACCTACCATCCAGTTGATTTGGTTGCTGTTTTGTTTTTTTTCAAGACAGGGTTTCTCTGTGTAGCCCTGGCTGTCCTGGAACTCACTCTGTAGACCAGGTTGGGCTCCAACTCAGAGATTCGCCTGCCTCTGGCTCCCCAGTGCTGGGATTAAAGGTGTGCGCCACTACCACCTGGGCCCCCATTTTATTATTACAAACAATACTGAAAGGCAGGTGAAAGACTTGGGGGTGGGGGATTAAACAAGGTCTAATATCAAGACCTTTTGTAAACAGTAAAAACACAAAAGGCACAAGCAATTCAGAAAATATACTACTACTCAAGAAACAAATGAAAAAACATTCAATCCTATTTAGTAGCTGAAAGTGCAAATGAATGCCTGAAATTGCCTCTCACTGATGGTCATCAGGGCTTTCCCAGCTCCCAGGCTGGAGAGCTGCATTCTTCATGCACGTGTCGACAATCGACGAGAAGGCTAACTCTATCACACATGCCATCAGGTGTGAGAAACTTCCCACCTCTTTGCCCTATCAACCCCATTCCCAGAGCTTTGCTCTATGTGAACAACTGTGGATGTATTGGCAATGCTATTCATTTTAGCATTACTTATAATGGAAGCTGGAAACAGAAACAACTTAAATATCCAATAGGGAGTTGGCTAAATAAACAGAAAACACCGTTTACTTTATAGGGCTGCTATTAAGGTCGTGCTAAAGGGATCAGTGTAAGAAACAGATAATCCCTGATGTATGTGTACATACATGATGACTACTCTCAGCAAACTTTCAAGGAGTATCACACAGCTATTAAAATTATATTGCTGACAATGATATATGGTAAAGTAGGTTAAAAGTCATGTTGGTGTGGGCTGGAGCAAAGGCTCAGTAGTTAAGCGCACTTGCTGCCCTTGCAGAGCGCTGGGTATGATTCTCAGTACCACACGGTAGCTCACAACCACTTGGAGCTCCACTTCTAGGGGATTCAATATCCTTTTCTGACCTCCAAAGGCACCAGGCATGAGCACGGTGCGCATGCAAACATGCAAGCAAGACAGTCATACACATAAGATGAATTAATCAAAAAATAAATAAATAAAAGCAGGTCAGAATAGAGTATAAGAACCCAAATTATCATATACACAAACATATGAACATTTTAGGCATACAACTTGCCTATAGCCGTACTAAGAACAGAACATTTTGTTTTGTTTGCGGTGCTGGCTACTGAATCTGCACCTGCTAAGCACATGCTATATTACTGAGCTACACTCTTAGCCCTTGGAAGAATTTCTTTTTTTTTTTTTAAACAGATTAAATCTTGGGCTGGACAGGTGACTCAGTGGTTAAGAGCATTTGGTTCCCAGAACCCAAATGGCAGTTTACAATCATTCTTAATTCCAATTCCAGGTGATCTGGTGCCCTCTTCTGGCCTCCAAGGTTAGCAGTGCACATACATACATGCAGGCAAAAACACTTATACACATAAAATAAAAATAATAAATAAATCTTAAAAAAGAATAAAATAGGGTGCTGGAGAGATGGCTCAGAGGTTAAAAACACTGGCTGTTCTTCCAAATGTTCTGAGTTCAATTCCCAGCAACGACATGGTGGTTCACAACCATCTTTAGTGAGATATGATGCTCTCTTGTCTGCAGGCACAAATACAGGCAGAATGCTGCATGAATAATAAATAAATCTTTTTTTTTTAAAGATTTGTTTTATTTATATGAATGTCCTGTTTTCACATACACCAGAAGAGGTAATTAGATTCCATTACAGATGGTCGTGAGCCACCATGTGGTTGCTGGGAATTAAACTCAGGACCTCTGGAAGAGCGGGTCAGTGCTCTTGACCACTGAGCCATCTCGGGTCAGTGCTCTTGACCACTGAGCCATCTCTCCAGCCCCAATAAATCTTTTTAAAATAAATAAATAAATAAATAAATAAATAAATAAATAAATAAATAAAT